GGAAAGCCCTGGTATTTTTAAAAGGCAGTTGGAAGTTCTAAGTGTGGGCTGAATTTTTCAACTGGTGGGCTTCCCTAGCAGGAGAGTCAATTGGACAGGGGGCCTGGTGGTTTCACTGGGGGAATGGCACTAATCACCATCTTTAAGTCTTTTATGAAGGGTCATTTATTTCTCTAGAGAGGAATCTTACAATCTACTGCCTTGGGAAAGAACCTGGCCAGGACCTTTGGTCTGGAGAGCTGGCATAGTGGGGTGTGTGTGTGTGTGTGTGACATTTCTTAGTATAGCGTCCATCCGTTTCTTACTTTCTATTGCCTGGGGTCCCTGGCCCTAATGACTAAGCTTCCTATCTCCCCCTAGGATTAGGAAAGGCTAATCACTTGGCTGTAGAGGCTGGGAGCAAGTATATAAGAATCTAACTCTGAACTGACTTCTATTTTCAGTCTACTATCATCTCTATCTTCTGAGGCTCGTGGGTTCTCTCTGGCCCCTCCCACCTTGAGTGCAGGCCCTGCTCTGCTTAGTCATGCTCCAGCCAGACAGAATTATTTGCAGCTCCCTAAAGATACCATCAATTCACAAAATCACAACTGTGGACATGCTGTTCCTGCTATTTGGAAGTTCCTTTTCTCAGCCTTTTCCCCTCACTGCTTTATCTGTTAAAACTCAAGTCAGTCTTTAGTTTCGTTAAGGAGCCACTGCTGTCTTCCTTCACCTGATGGCAGAAAGCATCTCTTCTCAGGGCTCTCAAAGCACCATGAGCCATCTGCTTACAACACTGCGTTATGCACACCTGCGATACCCGCACACTTGACTGTCGGCCTTCCCGTCTGATAAGCTCTAGATTCTGAGGGGAACACTAGCGTCTCACCTTGGAATCTCTAGAGCTTAGTGCAGTGCCTGGGATGAGGAAGGCCCTGTGTATTTGCGGAATAAGTGAGTAAATCAATCAAGTTACATTTTAGAGAAATAAGAAAGTCTAAATTGCAAGCAAAAGGTGAGGGGAAAATCTGAGAAGAGACAAGGAATAAAGAACTGAAAAGTCTAGGGCTTCAAGTTCAGCATTCCACGGAATGGTAATAGTGCTGACAGAAATGAGAGAAGTTTAGAAAGCCAACTGCTTCTGGTAGGTGATAATGGATTCTAAAATTCTGTCCATGTTAAAACGTAATATACTGGTGGATGTCCAAATAGGCACAGAAATTTAGGAGGTGAAAGATGATGTAAAATACTCATGGCGCATGGCCCCTGCGCAAGGATGACGTGCAAATTCGTGAAGCGTTCCCTATTTAAAAAAAAATACTCATGGCATATTTGAAGGAGAATATTAATATAGTAGAGAGTGGTTACAGGTGGGTGAATGACATGTCATGGAACAGAACAGAATAAGAGAAGGGCCCTGGGAGGGCTTGCCTGTGTCAGCAGGTCACACAATATACTTCTTATTCTTGTGTGTACAGAAGCTTGGATAGAAATGCATGGGAGTGCACTAGAATTCTTGCTATTAAGTTTAAATGAGTTAATATAATAATTGTGTTACACTTATAAAGGAGCCCCTAGCACATAAGTATTCAAAACGTGATGTGAGATCATCACCATTACCAGCATTGGGGTGTTTGTACAATGAGGTCTTTTTCTTTTTGGAATAATTTCAGGTTCAAACAAAAATGGTGCAGACATTGAGGTCTTTCCCCCTTTCCTCCTCTGTCCCAGAAGATTCAGGGGCTGTACTTGCCCATAATCTTGTGGAAACTAGGAAAATATTTATCCCTCTGGCAAGGGAACAGAGTAAGGGATGTGGACTTTGGACTTTAATGAAGAGGTGGTAGCTAAAGCTGAAAACACAGAGGGATTGTCTGGGGAAGATAACATGGAGAGGCAAAGGGTCATGGAATGAGTCATAGGAGACACTCATGGTTTGGTAATGAAAAGAAACAAGTGCCTTGGGCAGAGAAGCCAGAAGAGGGCTATAGAGCAAAGGACTTTTCATAGAAACTAGAGGAGGACAGAGGTCAGAGTAACAAGAAGGTGAAGAAAGGTGAAGCCGATGTGGTCCCCGGGTCTCATCAGGAAAGGGGCACTGTGTCTTCACTGGCAGAGGGAATGTGCAATAAAAGTGAGCAATTTCTTTGCATTGGGAAAGTCTGTTGTCAAAGACCTCTCCAAGGTACTAAGGAGCAACAATGTCAGTCTGGAGACTAAGGTGCTCCTGATACAGGCCATCATCTTTGTAATTACTTGCCATGCATTAGAGAGCTGGACAATGACTAGTGATGATAGAAGGAGAGTTGATGCCTTTGAGCTGTGGTGCTGGAGTATTGAATATACTATGGACTGCTAAGATAACAAACAAGTTCATCCTAGAAAAGGTGAAGCCAGGCTGCTCCTTGGAGGCAAGGATTCTGAAGCTCCATCTGGCATACTTTGGACATGTTGCAAGTTGGGATCAGTCCTTGGAGAGGGATGTCATGGTTGGGAGGATGGAGGGACAGCGCAGGAGAGGAAGACCCTTGATGAGATAGACTGATTCTGTCACTGGGGTAATGTCAGAAACAATAAGATTTGCAAAGGAGAGAAAAGGGTTTAGGGCTGTTGTACACACGGTTGCCGAGTTGCAAGTGACAAACAACAACAATTCATTTGCAAAGGTTCCAAGTTAAAGGGAGGCAGAGGCACTAATTTGTTTCCATATCAATGACTTGGGGATGTTTGAAGACACATGGAAAAATTAACAGGGAGAGGAAGGCTGGGCTTAAAAAGGGAAGATGTAGAGAGAGCATTCCTCAGATTGACAGAAGGTCCGCCAGCACACTCAGACAGGCTCTCAGGATAAAAGGGGAGGTATGAAAAGGGGTGCAGGATCTCTCGATACACATGGAAATCCTGGGTTCCAAATCCCTATCCTTACTTCTACCCTCTGGTAAACAGTTTGGACCCTGAGTCAGATCTCAAGAAACCAAGTAACCCCAATCCCTTTATTCCACATTCTCCTGTCAACAGGGAAGAAGAAAAATGTGTCTCTCTCCACAGCTGTTAGCTGCACTGCCCAATATGGGAGCCTCTAGCCACAAAATTACACTAATTAAAATTGTAAAAAAATCCATCTCTCAGCATCGCTAGGCATGTTTTGAGTGTTCAGTAAAGTTATATGGCTGGTGGCCGTGAAATCGAGCACTGTAGGTAGAAAATAGTGGCATCGTCATAGAAAATTCTATTAGCCAATGTTACTCTGAAGTTTTAGTGGCATTTCACCTCTCATTTTCTCTAAAGGATGTTCAGCTCTTTCCATGTTTTAGAGAGTTCACTCTACAGCCTCAGACATTGAATCACTCAGGTCCCTGGTAGAAAAAAACCACTAAAGCTTGACTGCAGGGGATGAAGTTTCCTGACTGTCTAAGAACAGGGCACTCAACTCTACATGATCTGAACTCACTTCCTTCAACTTCTGAGCAGGTCCATAAACTTGAGTCTCTGCTCTGTCTGCTCAGGGTAACCATATCCCTGTCAGAAAGGAAGATACCTTTGCTGACCTCAGAAATCAGCGGACGAGCTCCTGCCTCCTCACCTCTCAACAGGTCAAAGTCTTCACCAACAAAACTCTTTTCCTCCTCCCTTTCCTTACATCACCTTCCACTCCGTCCCATTTAGGACCATTAGCCCTTAGATCTTCTGCTTCTTAGTGACGAACATAAGCAGCTACTCAAGATGTCTCAATTCCTAGTGAAGTTGGGTAGGCATTTTGGGCCAAGGTCCCAGAATGTTAGCAAGAAGCGGTGGCTAACAATGGGGAAGGACCCTAACACTCTTCTAATTCAACTTAACTCATCTGGCAGATGCAACTGTGCTGTCACTTAAATGATGGGAAGCAGCCCTGGACAAGAGATAAAGAGAAAAGGACTTCTATCTCCAAGACACAGTTGTGCACAGCCAGGTGATTCCGACTGAACTGCATTCTTGGGAATTCTCCTGCACTTCTGTCTTGGCTGCTGTGTTGCTCCCTTTCCAAGACAGTATGCCTTTTACGGGAAATGCAAAGAACAAGGGATCAAGGTTTTCCTTCCATTTAGAGGAAAATGGGGCAAGTGTTGGACGTGGCTAAACTCTTCCTGGGAAAACATTCACCCGCTGTCCCTGACTCACCCTTTTGGGCACCTGTCATTGGCCCTTCTTCTACTGCTGTTCTGGGCTGGTGACATCTTAGGAAGATGGAGAAAGTGAAGTCGGAATGCTAGTTTAAGCACTGAGCATGGCATGCTTTTTCCTTCACCAGAGAAGCAGTAAATCACTCTGCTGGTCCAAATTCCCCCCGGAACTGGGCAAGGGAGAACACTCCGCGTGGGAAACGTATGGACAGACGATCCTCTCTTACAGTGTTCTAATCTAGCCTGCTCTGCTCTCAGAAAGATCCATGTCTGTAAACATCATGCCTCTGACCTAGAAGATAGATAAGTTTGTCCCTTTGGGACAAGCTTAGTGACAGATCCTGGGCTCTAGGGAGTCAGAGGAGCTGTAACTGAAGTCTAGGGAGATCTCTACACGCTCTTTGCACCATCCAATAGATTCCACTTTCTGAATAAGCGTGAGAATCAAAGAAATTCCTAACCTCTTTACTTCAGTCCAAAAGCCACTGGGCTGAACAGTGTTGCCTGAGAGGTTCTTGGTATGAAAGTCAAAGGAATGTGCTTCCACTCCCGCCCAGTTCCCCTGGGTTCCAAGCCCACTCCTCGCAGAAGTGGGTTTCTAATCAGTGGCTCAGAAGCGCCTTCCCACCAGTAGTTACTCAGGAGAAAGGTCTTGTTCTAAGCAGCCAGGGGGCCAGCCAACTCAGAAGCAGCAACATGCCCTAAAATGGTCAAAGAAAACTCCACAGGTTTGGCTTGAGCTCAGCCTCGAAAGGAGGGGGGGGGTTTGAGTCCGGCAGGGAGGATGAGTTTAATTTCCCCATATCCCCACCCCAAACCTCGGGCCTGAGGTTAACCCCGTTCTTGCTGACTACTTACCATTCCACAGGACCTCCAGGGAACGAGGGGACAGTGGAATAGCCTTGTTCTCTTTTAACACTGGACTGACATATGAAGCTAAATAAGGGACAGATGCCCAGACCTATTAAAGGGAAGAATGGGGGATAAACAAACAAGATTGATGATTACACACACACACACATACACACACACACACACACACACATCAATATGATGATTAAGGCTTAGCTTTCTCTTCACTTTTCCTCACTTTATTACCTCGTGTCTCTCCAAGACCTCACAACTCCTGAGGTGCAGCCAACAACCTGGAATGTTCCCCACAGCACTAAATCAATGCAGGTGTGGCTCTATCAAGGGGTGGAGAATGAACCGCACCCTGAGAGCTCCACACTGTACTAAGGTCCCATTTATTCTACTAGTTTGGAAGCTTTAATTATATAGTGTCAGGTCTGACTTTTCGTTTGTAAGATGAATACTGGCTGAGATGAGGGTAAAAGTGTTCCAACAAACAAAATGAATGGCTCGTTAAGGAGCACCCGTGACCCTCTAGACCATGTTCAGGCAGCTGGCTCCTTCCATGGGTCACTCCACACAGGGCATCCTGCCCGCCAACACCCGCTCACCTTGGCCGCGTTGACGAGCCTCCACGCGTTGAGCAGGCCGAACCCATGCTGGTGGCTGTGGCTGAAGCCTGCCTCGTTGGTGACCCAATCTGCACGGCGATCCTCGTACTGCAAGGACAGAGGCCACGGTCGGTCTCTGGCATTTGCGGTGTTATCCTAAGATCCTAACTCTGCCTGCCCTGCTTGCTGATCCCACATGGACTCTTCCACTGAGGCAGTAAGGAATTCTGGGACAAAAGGTAAAAGTCCTGTGATATCAGCCTCCCAATGGCTTCTACAGAAGGGGGCCCCAGAGCCCAGGATCCAGAGCAAGGGAGCCCGGGCAGAGCTCTCCTTAGCAGGTCAGATGGCATCAGCCTGAGTACAAATGAGTTCAGGTCCATGGTACTGGAAAGGGACTTGGCACCTAATATTTGGAACAATCAAAATCTGAGGGCTCCTGATGCTCATTAAGGCAAGGAAATGTAATTCTATTGAATTTCTGGGGTCAGCTGGGGCAGGTAACTTGTCTCCCTGTAAGCATCTCACCCTGGTGGCTGTGAAGACAATGATGTGCTGGACGTCACGCCACGTGAGGCAGGGCCGCACCTGCAGCATCAGGGCTATCATGCCGGCAGCGAGGGGGGCTGCCGCGGAGGTCCCCGTATGGCCCTCAGTGCAGCCTGTGCCCTTCTGGAGGTCCCAGTCAGTGGTCACCTGGGGTGTAACATGGAGGAGTAGAAGCGAGTTAGAGACCATGGAAAGGTGCTGTGGGCAGAGGGCACAACCAGGGCACAGAATGCTCGGCAGAACCTGCTTTGCTTACAGCTGAGAGTTTGACTAAAAGGAAGCACAGCAAATCGAAAAAAGCAGCTCCTTAGTCCCCCATGCTTCATAGGAGAACTTCTGGAGAAGTGAAAGAAAGATAACAGAAATGAAGAGTGGTTACAGGGGGATGAAATTGGATACATGAGAGAGGCCCTGAGTACATAGAAGAGTGTTCCTACTCTCGTGCCTCTCACAGCCCAGCCCCAAATCCTCCACCATGCTCTCCCACCTCCACAAGCATGCCAACGGGCGGCTGGGCAGCTCCTGGACCCCAGCTGGCTCAGGGACAACACTGACGGCACCATTCAAGGAAATCCAAGTTGGCAACCCCACAATCGATCGGGGCTGGGGTGACATCAGTACGAACAAAGGGAGCTTGTTCCCAATGAGAGGGAGCTGTCTCCTGGCTCCCCCTGCATGTCAGTGCAGGCTGGGTGTTAAACTGCCAGCTGCCCTATGCATCTGAGGGACCAGGTGCCTCGCTGCTCTGGGCTGAGTGCCTCGGCTTGGTATGCACCTCCTTTCTTGGCCTCAGTGCTAAGGTGGGTTCCATATGTCAGGGAGGCTGTGCATTTGACATCAGGGTCTGTTCATTCTCTGATCAGTGGGGGAGCCACAGAAGGTATCCCTGAGGAAGGCCTGGCCAGGTCTGCCTTCCACCTCATGGCACCATGGCTCCTTAGCCCGTGGTGCCAGTGCTAATTAAGATCAGCGACTTTATTTCTTCCAATCTTCTCTTGTGGTCAGATACCAGGGCGCTGGCTTCTGCCAAGAGCTGCCCTCTCTCCGCTGTACTCACTGCTTTCCTCCCAGCCACCACAGCAGCTGCCAAGGGATGTTATTTTTCACTCAGACGCTGTGCGCTCCCAGCAGAAAGGGAAAACAGCTCTCCAAGTTGCTGTCTCAATGAGAGTGGGAAGTTCTCATCTGTGCCAGGGAGCAGATTGATTTCTTCCTGTTAAGGAAGCAGCTTCTCCATGTGTGTGGCTGCAAAGCCCGTGGACCGCCTCTGGCAGCAGATGCCCCCAGCAGTTAGGGCAAAATCCAGGGATGCTCTGCTAGGCAGCCCAGGGGTGGGAAGTTCAAGCCTCCCTGGGCCTGCACTTCCCAACAGAGTTCCACCAGGGTGTTGCCCTGACCATTGCACATAGAAACCGGCAGAAGGAGGTTCCAAGAAAAGGACATTCCAAACATGGGAACTTAGCAGAGTAAACTCTCCTTTCCTTTCAGGACAAGTTGCAGCTCAGGAAGGTGGGGGTGGTGAAAGAAGTTGAGTCAGATTAGGAAGAGAAAAGCCAGGCACTGCAGACAAGGGTACCATGTCATCTTGGGAAGCCTTCCTCAGAGCCTGGCTGGGGCAGCAGTGGGCTGAGTCCCCAGAGCTCTGTTGGTGGGTGAAGGGCATAGCGTGCTCTCTGTGCTCCCTCCCAACCTGGGAGGGTGTCCCCTGTGCACTGTCCCCAGCTTGCCGGGCAAAGCCTCTCTTGTGATTTAGCTTCAGTTCACTCCCTCTTCTCATCTCCCCAGGGCACAGGGTGAGGGTCAGCTGGCACAGAGCCTTGGAACATTGTGTTGACCAGAAGTCATGTACTGGCAAAACAAAACTTTAGCTTTGGAAAATGAATTTTACCCAGCAGGAAGACAAAGCAGCCTAATTTCAAATAGCCCCCAAGGGACCCCCTACTCAGGGCCACTGGAGAAATCTGACACCATGTGGCTCTGGGCCAGCTTGAGTCTGGCGCCTCCTGTTCCACATCACTCTATTCTGGGCAGTTGGGTCAGGCAGGGATTTCTAGGATGGTAGTCCAGGGAAGTGGTTTAAACCTGCAGAGAGGAGCCCCAGTGTAGCATTGACATGGAGTCTTTAAACGAGTCCAGGAGCTGGAGGGGCGCCATTCTTTTGCTTCCATCGTATTTGCTACGGTGTCGGTCAGAGGTCTAAGGAAAGATGGAAGATGTTCCTCTGGCTCCTTTCCCCGCCTATTCCTAAAGGCAATCCTGGGGTTTATTCCCGAGGATGAATGTGGCCAGAACTCCAAGTATTTCACACAAGGACTGGATCGCAATGGAACAAAGGTGCTCAAAGTACACTAAACAGAGATGTTGCAAAGAGGTTATCTGATCAATGTGATACTTAGTACAGCTTTGTCTCCCATACTTCGGGCAGGTCATCATGCTTGGAAAGGTGGAGGGATGGTGAAGAAGAGGAAGACCCTCAGTGAAGTGGATTGACACAGTGACTGCAGCAATGGGATTGAGTATGTCAGAGATTGTGAGGCTGGCACAGGACAGGACAGGGTTCAGCTCTGCTGTTTATAGTGTTGCTATGAGTGGAACTCCACTCGACAGCACCTAGCAGCACATAATGGTATGTGAGGGAACTCTGGTGCCTAGACGTCAGGAGGTGTGCCGCCAACTCAAAGGTAAATGGTTCGAATCTACTAGCTGCCCCACAGGAGATGATTGATAATTACCTCCTGTGTGATTTATTACCTCTGAAAACCTGCTGGAGGGTTACCTATAGGTCGGATCTGACTCAAAGGTACATAACACACAACATAGTGACATATATGCTTATTGTTGTTGCTGTTATGTGCCACTGAATTGTTTGCAACTCATAGTGACCCTGCGTACAACAGCTCTGAGGCCTGCTCTATCCTGAGCCAATCTTATTGTCTCTGACACGTATACCATGGACTGCTAGGAGAACAAACAGGTTGTCCTGGAGAGAGTGAAACCAGGCTGCTCTTTGGACGCAAAGAAGCTCCATTTGACATACTTTGGGTATGTTGCAAAGTGGGACTAGTCCTTGGAGAGGGACATCATGCTTGGAAGTGTGGAGGGACAACGCAGGAGAGGAAGACCCTCGATGAGTTGGATTGATGTATGCTCATAAATTGAAATTTTTAGGATAAGAACCACTTACATAAACATGACATACTTATGGGACACAGATCTGTCAGGGGAAAAGGGACCTGTGGGGCAGGGGAGGGAAGTAGAAAACCAAATGCAAAGCCTCCACATCTGAAAGTCCCACGTAACAGGGATGGGGGAGGAGGAGCAGGGAGGCACTCACGATGCTCCGGAGCATCTTGTCGCCACCGCTGAAGGTGACCGCCAGCATCGAGGCACACTCTTCTGCATAGAAAGGCATCCGTCCCTCCTCATCCACAGCACCTGGGAAAGAATGGGACCAGCGGGAGCTGAGATGCAGAGTTGGTCCTCTGGCAAACCAGCAGAAGGGCTCACTGATGCTGAGTGAATGCTGCCTCACAGACCCACGAGCGTCAGACCAGAACCGAGCTCAGGGGGGACTCCCGGCTCTCATCTTTACAGGTGCTGTTCACCAGGCCTTTTTTCCACGGAGAGACTGGGGAGCTTTAAACCATCAGCCTGTAGGTTAGCAGACAAGCTGACACTCTGCACCACTCGCGCTCCTGTGCTAGGACCCGAAAACATCAGAGCTGTTATCTCAGCCACCCAGATCTCTCAGTGCCCATGACTGTCCCCCACATCTGCAGCCTCAAATGGATAAGCTTCCTGTGTCCTAATACCAGGCTTCAGAGCGAAATTGGTGGCACTGGATGTCTATACTGACTCGTTCATGCATTTATATTCACACAAACAGTAACCAAGCATCTACTGTGAGTCACCCACTGTGCTCAGCGCTGGGGCCAGGAAAACAAAAGACATCACCCTGATCTCCAGGGTCTTATAGTCTGGCAGGAAGGTTGAGAAGTGAATAAACACAATTTGGGAGTAGTAAATTGTTTGCTAGGGAATACAGGTAAAAGGCACTTAATTGAAGCCAGTGGAAAGTCAGGGAGGGCTTCAAGCAGGCAGCCAGTGGACCATGGCAAGAGGTGCCAGAGGAGAGGCTGCAGAATGGAGTATCTCTGAGATTGAGGGTCAAAGTGTTCTCTGGGTTTAGTGACATCTCAGGAAGCTCTCTGGAGAGCTGGGCTAGTCCTTCCTAACTGAGTCTGCAGATAAGATGTCAGCCAGACAGAAGGAAGCAGGGCCACACCAAGAAACGCCCTGAATGACACACACCCAGCCCCGCTGCACCACTACCTATAGTGACTGTGTAGATGGAGTTTGCGTAGCCATCGTAGTTGCAGTTGTCATTGTGCTGGCCTCCATTACCACTGGCTACCACAAAGATGCTCCCAAATCCCCGGCGACCAGCCATCACCCCATGCTGCAGGGCAGCCTACAAAGTGAAACCAAAACCATCAGGTTATCAGGGGGAAGCTCTAAAGACATGAGCCCACCACACCGTCACCCTCTCCTACCCTTCCTGAAAGGCAAAAGGGGAAAAGGTAAAAGAGAACTGGGCATAAGGGGAAGACACAAAGATGAACAGGAGCTGGGGAAGGAGTTGTCAGTAAAGCAGCTGTTCAATAGATGCTGCTTTTCTGATTACAGGGTGGGGCTGGGCATGGGAGGCTGCATTCTTCCATTTATCTCTGAGAACTTGGGGCTGTGGTTAGGTGCCTTCCAGTCCACTGTGACTCATAGCAACACTATGAATGATGGACCTGAACTCTGCCCCATCCTGTGCCATCCTCATCATCTGATGTTCATTGGTAGAGCTACTGTGTCAATGCATCTTATTGAAGGCCTTCCTCTCTTTTACTGACATTCCGCCTTTCCCAGCGTGATGACTTTTTCCAAGGGTTGGGCCCTCCTAACAACATACCCACAGTGTTCCCTTAAGCCCCCAAACTCTTCCTGAAAGCAGGCAGTAAAGCTAGATGACACAGGTCTGGTATCAGCAGCTGGGGGTGGGATGGGAAGTACTTAATGCAGAGGGTGGTCTAGGTCTCCTTATGGTCCACACAGTTACCTTTCCAAGCTGATGGGGTCCATCCACTGTCTTCCCATCATCATCCGGACCCCAGCTGTTGAGAAATACTCAGAGTGAAGAGCCAGGGCTGGGCTGCGGCTGCCCACCCCAGGCCACTCCTCTTCCTGGGCCTTCTGCTGTCCTCCCAAGGCTTCCAGTTCAGAACCTCCAAGCTTAACAGCCATGGGGTTAAAAGACATTAGGAGGCCTTTCTTCTACATGAGAACAAAGGCCCTTCCTACACTCAAAGAAGTAAATGAAAGCATGTGTTCAGGGTCTTCTTAGCCTTAGAAACCTGCCAAGTTAGGGACTACTTCGGTGTGCCTCTAAAAATCCCTTTTCAGGTTCTGGCAGAAAGCAGTGAAGCATGCACAGGAGAGGAGAGGAAGAGGGGGTGAGCTCTGCCTGGTTGAGGTCTCTAATACTAGGCTTGATGGTAGAGCACCCACAAAAGAAGTGTTCAGTCCAAGTTCTTGGTGTTTGGTACCAAAAAGGTCTTTATTCTAAGAGGGCACGTGCCTGATGGATGATGTCATGGATTTTAAGGCCCTTCTGGTTAGGGGGACGTGTAGGTGCCACCAATGCCACAAGGGCAGTGCAATCCTAGACCCTCCTTACCCACCCCTTCTCATAAGACCCTATCAACAATACTGCATGTGCAGTCGTGTGTAGAGTGGCAGGGATTGGTGCTGGGCCTTCAGTTTATCTGTGGATGATGAAAGTGGGAAAACCCACTTTCTCCCAGAGGTCGGATGAGATTGGAGAACAACCACATGGGCTCGTGGGGGGAGCAGGCTGGAGCACTCCTCATGTAGCAACCTGATTTCTGGAATAATACTTGGTTTTAAGCATGGGCTTGAAGACTGAGAAGCCAGTGGCCGGGGCATTGGAGACTAGATGGTCCTATATTTAGCTTGTCCCCTTAAGCTGAACTCGGAGAGGAGATTCCTGCAAGGACCTGCTGAGCCAGTCCATCACACTGTGCTTTTATTGAAGGATTAGTTCTGGGATTTCAAGCCTCTGGCCTTTCCCCCTGGGTCTTCGCTATGCCTCACCTGCAGCTGTAGATGTCATTGATCTGATAGTGCTTGTTGAACGCCACAGCCTCCATGCTGTCGGTGAGAGGTCCATCCAGTACCCGGATACCTAGGCGTGGAAGGCCATGTCAGCTCCTCAGCAATGCTGGGCCCGCAAGAAACATATAACAGCACTGGCCCCCAAGACATGGAATTGGGTGGTGGGGAGCCCTAGGTGGGCTCCTTATTCCTCCCTGGTGTTGTTTTACCTTTTGTATTTTTTTGCACCATGAGTCTGTATTGCTGTTGTATGAAGCTGAGTAGATTCTGACTCATGGCGACCTAAGAGGACAGAGCGGAACTGCCTCACGGGTTTTGGAGGCTGTAATCTTTATGACAGCAGAACGTCAAGTCTTTTCTTCTACAGAGTGGCTGGTGGGTTTGAACTATTGACCTTTCAAAAGGTTAAAGGCAGAGCACTTGAACCATTATGTTACCAGGGCCACCCAAAAGATTTTTTTGGTAGATCATGTCCACACACATTTGAGTACGCTCACACGTGCGCGCACGCTCTGCCAAAAGATAATTTTTAATGTTATTTTGAGGATTAGACCATAAGGATTGTGAAGTTTGGAGGGAAGAGTCCTGGGCTGGAATGTAGGCCACCTTCCCTTCTGACCTTCATGGTCAAGCACACAGAACACGAAGCCTGGTGCTGGACACAGGTGTCACTAAGCAGTACTAGTTACTGGCACCTCTCCTGGTGTCACCCTCTGTCAAGTGGGTCACATCTGATGACTGCATGTTGTTGTTGTATACTGTTGAGTTGGAACTGACCCCTAGCTGACCCTCTGGTGGGTTTTCAGAAGCAGTTAACCACACACAGGAGACTATTCCATTTTTTTCTCTCATGGAGCAGCTGGTGGATTTGAACCAAGTGTATTTGGGGTGGCAGTGCAACTCCTTATTACAGAGCCACCAGAGCTCCCTGATGACTGCACAGGGACCACAAACGGGGCTTTAGGAAGAAGGGATTTGGACCGCGAGGATTTCTGGCTCTCTGTAGCCTCGTTTACAGCAGTCTTCTGCCCTCTGCTGGAGTGTAAGGGGAATACAGGCTATCTATTCCACCAGTAAGTTTGTCAGACACTGAGACGATAGGGCAGGCTTCACATCATTTCACAGAGTTATTTTGCTGTACTCAACTCGATGGCACCCACCACCACCAACAATTCAGTCTGTAGGTTCCCAAGCATTTCTTTAAGGGATCACAGGGTGAGAGGGTTCTCATTCATTCCCTTCTGCTTCTGCCTAATGGACAGAGTAAGAAGTGAAGAAGCCAGAGAAAAATCTCAAGTGGATGTCAGTCTCCTCAGCTTCTTAAAAGGATGGAAAACAGACAGTGATGACCGTCAGTGGAACTAGGATGTGGAGAGGTGTGAGTAGACAATGGGTCATTGTTGTTACGTGCTGTCGAGTCGCCTGCGACTCATAGCTATCCTCTGTACAACAGCCCTAAACCCTGCTCTATCCTGAGCCAGTCTTATTGTCTCTGACACACCTATCCCCATTGCCCCAGACACTGAGTCAATCAAATGGGATCATGAAGAAAGTTCAAATAAGAAAGCTTTCTGTAAGTAATGAAAATACCAGTGCACAAATATAAAGTAGCCGAGGGAAAGGACTCATTATTAAAAGGACCTATGTTATCCATGGGGCATAACAAGGGACAGAAAAGGCAGAGACTGAGCAGGTGGCCTGGGGCTTCCATTTCCACACTAAGAGCACTGCCACTCTTGCTGTATAAAGTGGGGTGTGCTGCTGTAGAAAAGCTAGCTTAAACAACTTGGCACTGAGAAATAAACAGTGATCTGTCCTTCCGAAGCACAAGCTCACCTTCAGCTCTACACTCTGTGCAGAGGGTGGGATAAAGAGGTTTCAGAATTGGAGGTGGGGGTGTGGAACGAAGACTCAACAGGCAAAGGCCGAGGGCCGAGCGGGGGCTGCATTACCTGCCACGCGGCTGCCATAGGCCACGCCGACTGCGCAGAAGCTGTTGTTGGGTGCCGCCGCGATCTCCCCCGCACAGCGGGTGCCGTGGTGATTGCCGTTCTCCATGTCGGGGTGAGGCATGGGGTCCGGGTCATTAGAGTTGAGGTCATAGCTGCCCTCGGGGCTCTGAAATGCGAAGGGGAGGATTGGGGGACATGTAGTCATTCGATGGTTAGAAGAGAAAGAACTGGGAGTTTGGGGCTGCATCTCTCTTTACAAACCACAAGGGCTACAAGATCCATGAGCACAGGACACACCAGGGAAAAACTGAGGCGTGCCACCGCTCTCAGGGGAAATTCCTCTCTTGGCTGTTACAGGAATGTGTTCGGAGATGGCTTTATGACTTGGGAAGCCTGAGATAAAAGGGATTTGGGGCACTGTGAGGGCCAGGCTTTAGGGAGGAAGGTATTTAGAACTTGTGTGGAGATAGAAATGTCTATGCAGGTACCAAGTATTATAGGTATCAGGACAGGGGGTGGCAGCAGGAACCAGCATGGCCACTGGGCACCTCTCCCTTGCTGGGGTGGGGACAACCTCCATGCTTTAACTGCCAGTCTGAATTGCTGACTGAGGAAAAGGAGAAAAAGAAGATGACCACTCCAGGCTCCAGGTCCTCCTGTTTGGCCCAAAGATCTCAGGGAGAGGGGACAAGCCTAAAGTGATATCATGGTGAAGTCATATCAAGAGAGAAGAAAGACATTGGAAATGGAAGGGGAGCTCGAGGGCCACTCACATAGTTGGGCGCAATATCCTGGATGGTGTGCTCAACTCCGTCATCCACGACCACCACAGTCACCCCTCGCCCTGTTACGTTGCGTTCCCATACACCTGTCACATTGATGTCCCTGCCAGGGGCCCGCCGGTTATTCTGAAGGAGAGACAGGATCAGGAACTGGGTTCCAAAGCCCTCAGGGAAACAAAGTTACACACAGCACAGCCCACAGAGAAACAAAGGTACACATTACACATAACACGCAGCCCACAGAGAAACAACATTACAGCTGGCAGCCCCTTTGGCCCTGGGATGATGACCAGAGCCAGCACGTCAGTCCATCATGGCGTGGAGGGAACCTAGGAGGAGGCCCAAGTGCGAGCTTTGCCCCAGCCAAGGTGGCCAGCAAAGTCTGGCTTCACTCACAGGTGATAAAATGTGGGGAGAGGTGAGGGTTAGATAAATAATTATTGTGTCAATAATGTTAGTTAACAGTCAAATTCTAGAGTGTTTACTGTCTATCAGACACTACACTAAGTGCTTTACACATACTCATTTATTTTTCCCAACCATAATTCTATTCTAAATCACACTGCTATCAAGTTGATTCGGATGAATTCATGGTGGCTCACCAACTGGTCTTCCAAGTTTTTAAATCCCTGTGAGAGCAGACTGCTTCATGTTTCTCCCACAGAGAGGGTGGTGGGTTCAAACCTCCCATCTTGTTAGCAGTAAAATGTAACTCACTGGACCACCAGGGCTCCTTAGATCTCTGCTGTTCTGTAAAATGTAGCCCGCTCAGCCACCAGGGTTCCTTACATCTCTTTTGTTGTTAGGTGCTGTCAAGTTACTACCCCTCATAGTGACCTTAAGAACATGGTTCTGAACCTTGTACTATCCTTAGCCAACCTCACTATCTCCGACACACTTGATCCCGTTGCTATAGTCACTGTGTCTATGCATCTCGCCAAGGCTCTTCCTTTCTTGTGCTGACCCTCCACCTTTCCAAGCATGGTGTCTCTGAGCTCTGGTAGCTTAGTGGTAAGGAGCTGCAGTGCCAACTCAAAGGCACGTGGTTTGAATCCACCAGCTGCTCCTTGGGAGAAAGATAGGCATTCTTCTGTGCGATTTGCTGCTTCTGAAAACCTGCTGGAGGGTCAGCTACGAGTGAGCTCCATCTGCACTGTATATAATAATAACAACAACTACAATAATAATAAAACAATCTCCGGGGAGCTCTGGTGGCGTCGTCTGTAAGAAGTTGTGCTGCTAACTCAAAGGGGGTGTCTCTCTGGTAGTTTGAATCCACCAGCCGCTGTTTGGGACAAAGATAGGCAGTTTCCTCCCGTGCCACTTACAGCCTCTGGAAACGCTGGAGGGTCAGCTATGAGCCAGTTCAGACTTGACGCAATGAGTTTGAGGTTTCTTTTAAATGATAATCTCTGTTTTATAGAAAGGAAAACTGAAGCACAGAGACATTAAGCAGCTTGTCCCAAGACACATACACATATTGGTGGATGGTAGAGAGCTAGAATTTGAACTCAGGCAGCCTGGCTCTGGCCTCCAGGCACTAATCAGCACTCTGGTTCCTGAGGGAAGAGCGTAAGGAAGGCAGAGCCTGAGGAGTAAACACACCACCAGAAGACCACAGGCAGCAAATGGATGGGCAACGAGAGTGCTGTGGGCACAATTCCACAGGCGAGGCAGGAGCAGGGAACTTACTCTCTAGGTGGGAGACAAAGGCTATTTTTAGTGATGGGAAAGGTAACACCACAAGAAGTTGAAGTATAACTTCTTGACAAAGGCAAATGCCACTAAAAACTACACAAGAAAAAAAGGACCTGTTGGTAATGATTACAACATATATAATTTCAAAACGACTGTAAATCTAACCAAACTATGCATTTAATTGTTGTTGTTGAGTATCGCTGAGTCGGAATCAAACCATAGGTGACACTACAGTGGGTTTTCTGAGGCAATAAATCACAGGAAAGGAGACTGCCCATCTTTCTCCTACAGAGAGCTGGTGGATTCGAACTGTGTGCCTTCAGGACTATAGTGCAACCTCTAGGCCACCAGCACTCCCTAAATTATACATATGTAGACATATATGTGTACAAACCAAAACCCTACTACTGTCGAGTTGATTTTGACCCATTAGCAGCCTTTCATTGTGTTTCTGAGGCTGTAATTTTTCACAAGAGGCTGTCCATTTTTCTCTCAGAGATTGGTGAGTTCCTTTCTGTTAGCAGTCTGAGACATTACACACTGTGCCACCAAAGTGTGTAGATGTGTATAGAGATGTGTATAGGTGTGGTGGCTGGGAGTTGCATTACCAAGCTAAAGGCATGTGGTTTGAATCCACCAGCTGCTCCACAGGAGAAAGATTGGCAATCTCCTCCTATGTGATTGAATGACTCTGAAAACACACTGAAGGGTTAGGTATGAGTCAGTTCTGACCCAACGGTACACAACAATGCATATGTACGTGTTATACATGCATTTATGTGACTATATGCACATATATTCTTAAATAATAAAGCCCATAGGAGGCACAGTTACAAATACTTAGACAAAAACATCTCATGGAATTGGTTTTCTGGATTTGAAGGATGAGGACTATAGGCTTGTCTTGGTCAATGGGCATAATATAGGTTATAAAGTTGTACTCTACATTCTAGCTTGGGCAGTAGGATTGAGGATCTTAAAGACTTACAAGTGGCCATCTGAGATACAACTACTGGTCCTCCTTGCCTGGAGCAAAAGAGAAAAAAGAAAATAAAATATTCAAAAAAGAAACTAATCTACAGGACAAATAGTCTGCCCTGAGGCCAAGAAGAACTAGATGGTGCTCAGCTATGGCTGTTGACTACTCTAGTCAGGACCAAGACAGATGGTCCCTGATAAAATGGGAGGGGAGATATTGGACAGAATCTCAAATTCCTAAACAATACAATTAGACCTATTGGACTGGCTGAGTCTGTGGCTCTCAGATACTCTCCAATAAGCTGAAACTAACTCCTGAGGTTACCTTGTAGCTAAATAATAGATTGGCTTAAAAAATAGTATCACTCATAAGAATTGTGCTCCTTTGGCTGATTGCTTCCATGAGCAGCTGACTCCTTTGTTGTGATGCTAGAAGGAGTGGATGGTGCCCAGCTACTATTGCTGGGCACCATCACAACAACATCAAAGATTCTATAGAAGTATCACGACCAAAAGGAGGAAAAAGGTAGAACAGAATTTAAAATTCTTATGGAACCTAGAAATCACGGTACCATGGAGGCTGGATGAACCCTAAAAATCACTGACTTGAGAATATCTTTAGACTCTTAAGACCAAAAAGATCCCCTGACATCTCCTTAAAACCAAGTGATAATTGAGTTTAACTTTTAAAAATGTTATCATATTCTTATAAAAATGATCTAGATGAACTCATGTTGACAACAGCAACACAAAAGAAACTTGGAGGAAGCACAGGAAATGCAGGTGGCAGTGACAGTCATTGTCATTGCCATGGAGTCAGAACCGATTTGAAGCTGACCCTTCAGCGGGTTTCTGGAGGCTGTAAATCACACGGGAGCAAATGGTTCTCTCTCCCTCTGAGGAAACTGCCAGAAACAAACCTCGGGGGGCAGCTTTGGGTTAGCAGCACAGCTCAGCTCTTTATCCTCTACGCCACCAGAGCTCCCTCAGTGTTTATATTAATGGAGCAGGAACATGTTGGGAAAGGAGGGTGAGAATGGTTACACAACTTAAAGAATGCAATAAGTGCCACTGAAATGTGAACATAGAAACTTGATTAGTGTATGTTTTTCTATGTTCTCACCAAAAAGAAATGGGGAGTCACCTAGATGAACTCAGTAAACAATCACTTTGAACAAAGATGAGAATGCAAGGGGCAGGGAAACTAGATTAATGGAATTAGAACAAACAGAATGGAAGTAGCAAGAATGTTTGCATTTTGTGATGAAGCTAACCAAGGTCAAATGGCGCAGAAATTATTGAACAGGAACCTAAACCGTCATATAAACCTTTAGTGAAAATACGATAAACATTACTGAAAATATCCCATTGAAGAACTGGACACCCAGAACTTATCCACTGAGGCAGACACTGCAGGGCAGGACTCACCAGGTGCCACTGCAGTGGGTACTTGGGATCATTGAAGTGGACGCTGCGTTTGGCTCGCTTTAACAGTCTCTGCTCTGAGTGCCAACGCACAGCTTCATGCCCGGTCAATACAGCCTCTATCTGCCGCCGCATAACCTCCACCTGTTGGTCCTGCCTGTGCCCAGGTGGCTGGACAAAGAGGTAGTGCCCACGAAGTTCTCCGATGCGTCCAGCATTCACCAGCCCCACGGCCCGGGCCAAGGTGTCTGCTTGCTGCTCCAGAGTCTCTTCTTTCCCTTCACCTTGCAGGCCATTCAGACGCACAGCCCAGCTGAGCCTCCCTGGACCCTGGGCCTCTGGCCCTCCTGTCTCTGTCACGCCCATAACCCAGGGAAGCAGTAAGAAGAGCCCAGCTATTTCCAGCCAGAGGCGGGAGGGCTGGCCCAGGGGGGTGTCCAAGTATGGCACTTTCGGCCTCCCTTTCGGCATCAGAGCAGTAGGCTGCAGACAGAGAAAGGACACCCGAGATAAGACAGCTGATACTTACAGGAATCTAAGAGGGAGATGTGGTGCTGACAATCCATGTGTTATGCCTGGAAAGGCCCAATACCCTCCTATTTAATAGGGTCTCTCGTTTTATCCATTTTTATCCTTTACCAGCAGGACCCCTGCACTCAGGTGGCTTGTGGGTGAGTATTAACCCCGTGGCTGACCTCCTATCACTTGTTGGCTGTGTCACCATCACAGCAGATAATCAAGCAGAGATGCCAGTTGTTAGGAGGCCTCATGCTGCTCCCTCCCATTTTTGCCATTTAAAGGGCTTAGAGAACATGCCACTTTCACAAACTCCTGGCAGAATCATGCATGACTCTTCTTTAGGGGGACACCCTCCTTTCCAGCAACTCCTTTTTGGAAGGGACAGGAGCCTCTTCCCCGATGACTTCTGAGTCTGCTTGAACTCAGAGCTAACCCCTCACCCCTAGGGCCCCATTCCTACCTGGACTCTGTGTGAGGGTGAGCTCCGGGTCTGGTTAACCACCTCACGCTCATTTTGTGCAGATGGAGAAAAGGCATTACTTTCACTGTGAGTGGCGAGGTCTCTGAGCCCAGACTGCAGACTTGTGAGTCCTAAGAACAGAAAAAATAGTACATATAACTTGGTAGAATAAGCTAAGGCTGCTCATAAACTGTGGGAGCTCTAGCAGCATAGTCTGGGAGACACAATGCAGCTAATCCAAAGGTGGCACCTCTCTGGCAGTCCGAACCCACCAGCAGCTCCAAGGGAGAGAGATGTGAAATCTCCTCCTGTGCGATTTATAGCCTCTAAAAAACCACTGGAGTGTGCCAGCCATCAGTTGGTCCAGACACAACAGCAAAGAGGCTTTTTATTCTTATCGGGGTTTTTAAAAAAAAATTGATTCTTAATATTGATTCCCATTGCCCAGCAGATACGATGGGAAATGGGAATAAGTCTTAGTGGGCTCGAGAGTGAGCCTAGAGTGGAGGAGCCCATCCTGGAAAAATGATTAAGTCCAAATGCCTGTGCAGAAGATGCCAGGGGGTACCAAGAGGGATAAAGAAGGAGAGGTAGTCCCCAAGAGCATGCCAGCAGGGCTGGTAGATCTGGAAGATGGTGATGCAGGTGGGGAGCACAATCACCCAGAAGAGGAAGCCCACAGCTGAACACCAGACACAGCCCTTGATTAGGCTCTCCTCCTCGTGAGCTGGCACTAGGAAGGGCTCTTGGAAGAACCAGAAGATGTTGACCAATCAGAGGAAAGGCAGGAAAGCAAACCCACCGAGGTCGTGCTTCTGGCACAGGTTCAACTTCTCCTCGTTAGACACTCGTTCCAAGTTCATCGCTGCTCAGGGGATGTGCTGTCCTAAGGGCCAGGGAAGTAGAACCGTACTTTCTCTGGCTTGATCCTTTGGCTTTTAAAGGTGAGTTTTAAACTCCAAGATCCGTGACCAAAGAAACTGGCCAACGATCAAGCATTTCCAGAGATTTAAAATAGATGAGACTGGGGCAAAACTGGTCCCAAATCTCCAGGAATGCAGAAATCCTACTGTTTATCTTAACCACTCTGCCCCTTCTCCTAGCAGTGTAGAAGAACCCAAAAGGCTATGCCAACTCCCAAAGACCCTTCACTGGGGCTCTGAGGCTGCAAGTTTTGAGGTTTTATTATTATTATTTTTTGTGTGTGCACCATTGAATTGGATCCAACTGGCACAGGAAGAGATTGCCCCTCCTTCTCCAGCAGAGCATCTGCTGGATTTGAACTATGTACCTTTGGGGATTGCAGTCACTAGGCAACCAGAGCTCCAAGGCTGCAAATCTTTATGGGAAGAGAATGCTCATCTTTCTCTCAAGGAGCAACTGGTGGATTTGAACCACTACCTTTGGAGGAGTAGTGGAACACATAACACTACATCACTGGAGCTCTTTAGCAGCTTAGGAGGGAGTCTGAATTGTCAGCAAAATCCCCTCCTGAAAACAGAAAAGTACAACTTCCTAGAAGCTCAGGTAGTAACCAACTTCCTGCTTTGCACATTTCTGTAAGAATGCCCAGGGGGAGTAATAGCCAGCAAAAAACAGGGCCGGGGGTGGGTTGGGGGGATGGAGATGAGTCACAAAATGTAAGTGAAATTGAACAGGCAAAAAGTTTAGGGCAAATGGACATCCAGGAGATAAGAAATGATGAGCTATCCTTAGTAACTGGATCAGCAAGTTGTCTTGGAAGTGAGAACAGGCTCCAACCCTGAGATTCTCAGTCACCTTTGGCTTAGAACAAGGGAATCAGACATTATGAGCTCTCAAAAAAGAAAGGAACCACATGAGACCCGGTGGGTAGCCACTGGGGCCACTGGGCAAAAGACAGACAAATGGAGAGGCAGACTATATCTGTACTCATCAGTGGCTGGGTTCCTTTGGAAGCCACTCGGTTCGCTAAGGATTATAGGAAAAGTGACATTTTTATTAGAAACTCCTTGGAAAAGGGAATGAACGTATACCAGTAACACTTCCCTCCAAAACCCTCTTTTTCACTCCATTTTCTTTTTATCTTAGACTCTCAAGCTTTCCTCCTCTGCTTCCCCAGTAACTTCAATTGTTCCAAATAGGCAGGCTTCTTCCTTAGCCTGCATATCCCAAACAAAACCTTGTTTGACAGCTAGTGAGCCATTTACACTAGCTCTTTAAGCCTTGGTAAGTCCCACCTTAAATTTCCGGAAAAGACGATCTCTTCCTTGTCTGGCGTTGGCAGAGCACCACTTTACCCTTCACATTTCTGAGAAAGGAACCTTAAATACCCTTTGAAAGTAGAGCTCAATCTTGCCCAGCTGCTAGGCCTCTCTTAACAGCTAGTTATTAGTTGTCAAGGGGGTAGAGCAATATAGGAAGCCCACGATTTCCAAGATTCTGCTCCCAGTAGTCTTCTTTGCAAACTCTACATCCTATGTTCTTACAAATCAGGTTTTGTACAGAGCTCAGATTTCGCTGATTATCCCTCCTAAGCGCTGACTGTTCCGTGCAATATGCCGCTCTTCTTAGAGGGACCCTTGCCATCCTGGAATGCAAGACTCTGGTGCCCAGCCTCTCTGAGGTCCCTCCTCCCAGGCTGAAAGCATCCTCTGTGCAGCCCCAGCACTCTCAGACGCTCCTTTCCCTCAGCTCCAGGCCACCCGGACTTGCAGCGTCCTGCCCCCACCTACTTCCCAACTCACCCGCCCGGCCGCAGCTCCTGCCGCCGCTTCCCTGCGGAAACTCGCGGCTTCCCGGGAGCCTGAGCATCCAGTGACAGCAGCATCACTTCCGCCCGGTACTCAGCCAATCAGCGGCGGGTCCTGCTGGCCATGCCCGACGGGCCTCAGCAGTCGGAGACCGAGGAGGTATCTCCCTTAGCCATCCTCTGCTTAGAGAGGAGCGTACAGACTTGCTGAGATTTTCTCGAGGGACTCCACTGCCCAGAGTTCTCGGGACATTTTCAAGAGGGTCCCTCTCCGTAGAGTTGTTCTCCTTTATGGCGTCCTCTGAAAAAGACATCTTGGTTTCGACCTTTAAAAACACCTCGTCTCTCTTTTCCCTTTGACTTCCATAGAACTGATTCTCCCTGTACCCTTCCTAGGGTGGATCCTTCGTCCATCTCGGTTCCTTCCTTGTCGGATCTCTCTCCTTTCCCGTGTACCCGGAGAGTCCACTTCTCCCTCCCCAGTCTTCTGCAGCATCCAAGGGCTAGAGCCACTGCCTTCTCTCGCCGCCAGAGGGCGCTATCGGGGGCGGTGCGGCGCCACTGAGGCCTCTCCTCTCGCGGTCCGAGCCTCGCCCCCTTTCGCTCGTGCCGCCGGAAGTGGGAGGTGTCGCGCGGACCGAAGTCGACCCCTCCCCCCGTGGCTCGGCCGCCCCCTCCCCCCGCTCCTCCCGCTCAGGTGCGTCC